ATTTTTTCCGAATGGTGGTAGAGAAAAAAGACAGGATAGCATTTGCTGATAGAAGTGTGCGTGTGCTCCCAGGACCGACACCCATAGCAGGAATTGAATGTCTGGAAAATTGTGGCCAGCTTTTAATGATATCCGATCGATTTTCTTTGTTTTTAAATTGTACCAATTGTGGCAGCAACTGGATGAACAGGTATACATGGTCAGTTGAGTCAGCGGATGGAAGAGACGTAGCGTTTAACTGGGAGGAACAGACAGTAACTGGGCGACATGGTAGTTATTTGTCTACGAAAACTTACGCTTTTCTGATGTTTCCAGAAAAGCATAATTGGATTTCTCTGACACTGGACACGTGGAGTGGTGTGAGCTTGAACTTTAGGTACAGCTTTATTGTTAACCACCCCCCTGTATTCGGAACATGCGAAATTAGCCCACTGAAAGGAATTACATTTGTTACTAAATTTGTCGTCAGCTGTCATGGCTATAGGGATAGGAATATGCCTCTGACATATAAAGTCATAGTTTCTGATCTGTACAATCTTGGTGAAATAAGTACTTTAGAAGACAATACGTTGGGGGCCATCTTGTACTTGGGGACTCAGCCTAGTACACCCTCTTTCTATCTCCCAGTTGGGATCATGGCCAATCAGTTTGACGTGAAGCTCTATGTCCAAGTTTATGATACCCTGGGATCTTTTTCCCAGGTAACTTTGCATGCCACGGTGCAGCCCCCTACGAATCAGCAGGCACCCAGCACCGTGATTCAGCAGTTACTCAATGATACCAAAGGAACCGGTTCATTGCTTTTGACTTTGCTTCAGAAGCAGGAATTTTTATCTGCAGGTTACCTAATGCATACAGTAGCTTCCGTTTTGAATAACCTGAGAAATGACAGAACTCTCACAGGTGACAAAAACAGGCTCCGAAATCACCTTGTCAACCAGACCTTCCGTCTTCCTCTGACAACTTTGCCAGAAATTAACCAGGTCGTCACCATTATTACTGAATTAACCCAGAAAATTTCTGAGCTCACCCAAGTTGCTCAGAGACTGGCCATTGTGAGGATATGGCAAGCAACCGAAGCACTCCAGGCGTATCAACAAAACGATAAAAATTTCCGCTCTGAGCAAATAGAGATCGTGAGTTCTGGGATCTTTACCGTTTTGTCTAAGATCCTGATGCAGATTACTCCTCACCAAGTTGTTCAAGATCCTTTCTATACCATGGAAGCTCTAACAGACACAATGCTGGGTATTAAAGTGCCGGGCAGTATAGCCACCGCCCTGAGTATCTCCAACTTGAATATCCATGTAAATAAAGTTGAGTTGCGGGATGCTCACAGGGTCTACACCAATGAGCCACACTGCCAAAATTGTTTGTACCCAGCACTGAAGGCCCACAGTGTTCCTGATTTGCTTCCCAGTGCTCCAATCTCGACGATGTTTTGTGAGTTTGCCGATGACCCCTTTCCTTGGTTAACTTACAGTGGACAGATTTCAGACCAGGTGATTGGATACCGAATGACAGGAACCAA